AACCAACAACTTACAGTTTAGCTTTATATATTGAAATGAATTTATATTTACCTGACATCAAAATTTGAATTATCTGTTCTATTTCTTTTTTAGAACTGAGTAGTCTGTATTTTCTGAAGCTTGATACTGTTGCCAAAAAAAAAAAAAAGGGAATAATTTCTTGGGGCATATTGATGTGTAACTTAGTGTAGTTTAGGGAAAATTTTGCACAGTGAAAGCAAAAGACTGTTTTAAGACTCCCAGATTCTGAACTGGGTTTTTTAGCTTCTCATTTCTTTGTCATACTACTTCCCCAACCCCAAAGTGGGTTATTAGAGTTTTAGAGATCTCTGCTAAGAGACCTCATTACAGAGGACCTTCTATCGTGCGTAAAAGTTGAACAAATACTCATGAATGTCTAGTACTCAAGCATAAATTCAGCTATTTGTGCTTTTGATCACCATGACTAATTAAAATCATACTATATTTGTTTTGTTTTCAAGTGACTTGGATGGTCATATAAGAATTTCAGAAAGGAATGGGGAGATGACAAATGTAAACATGATGAGCCGTGTTTGGATGCCTAGCTGGGCCAAGCAGTGTGTGTCTAACTCTATCTGGTGGGATGGGGACAGGCAGATCCCTGGAGCTCAGTGGGCTTTGGGTTCAGTGAGGGACCCTGTCTTGTAAAAGAAGATAGACAGTGATTGAGGAAGACACTTAACTTCCAGCCTCCACATGCAAGCACACACCACGAGGAACATTCATAGAAAATGAAGTGAAAAGACACTGTTCATGAACACTGAGCCTAAAGTTCTCATAGAAATTTAATAATTATTAACACTAATGCAAATCAGATTTCTTTTCCAATTTTATGCCAACTAAGAAGGCCTGAGCCTACATACTAAAAAAAGGTATGTACTCCTTTTTTCACGACAACTATAGTGAATATGCTTTTGATTATATTTGATAGGGATTTTTATGTGTTCATTTCTTTAGAGGCTGAAACTGAGAAGTCTTTTCATTTCATCTAAAAATATCTTTTAAAAGAAAATAATGTCTGATGTTTGTTAATATTTATTTACATCAACTTTATTTTAAACAGAACATTTGGTTATAGTTTCAAAAGCTCATGTTTGATTTCCTGTATCACATGATTATATGGGAAGGGTGTTTTGGTCATTTTGTAACACATACTTTTATCTTAATAAGCGTTATTAATGCACTAGACTTAAAAGTAAAAGTTGCGCCTTTTAAAATCATTGGAAATAGTCCCCCTAAAACTTTTGCAGAGTTTTCCATGAATTAAATTGATTACACAATTAAAATGATCAAAAGCTATTGCATGTACAGATTTTGTGTTTGTAAAATCTGACTAGTAGCTGTGATTATTGTCATTTTCTCTAGAATTTCCCTCACTTCTCTTGTATTCGTCTACTGACTTTTTTTTAAGTCAAAGCATGAGGATTCCTCCATGAAATATAACTTGAGGACAGGGATTTAGACTCTCTCCCGCTCTTGATTGTGAGTCCACTACAGTCCACCTCCCAGAAACCAAGCTGACTACTCAGATTGTGGGCAGAGACATCTTAAGTTCTCTGCATGCCAGTTGTATAATCTCTCTGTATTTCCAATCTGCCATTCGTAAACTAAGGCCCCTGGGGAGTACTTTCCTTACAGAAAAACCCATTGGATTAATTTAGTGAGGTATATAGCACGTAGCTGCTTGCACAAATGCATGAGTAGGGTACATGTTCAACTAGCTGGTTATCGTGAGTCTCTTCCTCAGCTGTTGTCGGTGGTGTTCCAGTTGTGCTGGAGCTAGGAAACTCTGTATTGCAAAGTCGGAATCAACTTACTAGAATTTTAGACTGAAACAAGTAGGAAAGCACAGGAACGCTCTTTTTTTTTTTTTTACAAAAATTAGGCAACACGTATATGATGATGTTTCACGCATGTATAAGTGCTCAGTAAGTATGTATAGAATGAATAGGTTAAATATGTTGTAAATGTCTTAAAATTCTAGAAATCAAGACATTTCAAGTGTCTTTAGTTTAGGACAGTACATTCAACTCATTTTAGTAAGGTATGAATAATAAAGATGGTGATGAGGAGGATGTTAGCAAGTAACATACCTGGTCTTATTGTGTGTAAAACACTATTCTTAACCCTTTATATTCATGTAGATTAATTCTTTGAGTATAGCAATCCTGAAAAGTACTTTTATTATTCTCATTTAATCAGTTAAGAGACTTTAAGAAATCAAGTTTCCGAGTACTCATAAACAACCAATCACCAGGTTCATACCCTGGAATTTGGCTTTTAACTATTAATTTATCCCTGAACATGAAAATGTCATTTTCAAAGAGCTTACTTAGTCAAACCCTCAGACTTTCATAAAGCGCCATTCTTGCCCAACTCACCTATCTTTGTGCTTCCATACGTAAAGTCTAAAACACCAACACAGACTTCGCTCTGTGATAGAATTACATAGAGAACTGTCATTAGTACTAATGATTAAGTCTCAAGATTCTCCCTTGGTTGCTGTACATGGGACTTCTCTGGTGGTTCTAGTATACAGAGAAGTTTTAAAACCGCTGGTCCAGAGGGTTAAGATTTACCAAAGGTTTGACTATATACTGTCTAGTAACATCTTGTAAAACATAAACACTCCAGGAAACTGCAGCATTGCTTTAGGGACTGTGCGTCAAATGATTATTAAAATTTTTCCAAAAGTTGGTATTGAGAAAAACAAAACGGCTCCTAGTTAGAGAAAGATAGTGTTTTCCTTTGGGGCTACATTTTGCTGCTTCGGTGAAAAGAGTAGCCCGATTTTACTAAATTGTTTAGGAAAATCGGTATTTATTTCAAATGTTTAGGTTCTCTTTCTCAGAAGACTAATGCCAAATCCTCAAAAATGTGGTGACAAGCAATGACTCATTTCAGCTCAGGTCAAAACAATGTGCCTTTGTGATTTCCTGTCCCTGGAGAAGCTATTAAACACAGAGCAAAATGCCTCAGAATGAACCTGATTGAGTGTTTTAAATTATGTATTTTTGCTTGGCTATTAGCCAGATGCTCATAGGGAAATCTCGCTGTACATCAGGACCTGTGATTTGAGCAGACAATAATAAGACACTATAAAGAGCGGACGGCAGCAGTGCAGGGTTCTGAAGTAATCAACAATATCTCAGGTTCTTCGTAGAAACAATTTATGGAACTGCTTTTTTTTTTTTGAGTTTTCCTTTGTTAACCTCTGGACAGGATGTGCCTATTGAATTTTCTTTGCATTATCTTGTTGATAAATAGCACAGATTCCAGCAAGGATAAGAACAAGCGCAAGCACACACTTTAACACACGTACACACGCGATTTGGATTTGTTTCTGTGTAAGGAGCAGCACAAATGTTCATAGTGGAGGTCGGTATGATGTTGCACAGGTATACAGAAGGTGTTGCTGATATAATACCAAAGTGACTTTTCACTAATTTTCTAAGCATGCCTGCCAGCACTACACTAGTTCTATAAGAGACCTTTCGCTCTCCTTGTTTTTTCATGACAGGGTTTCTCTGTGTAATGCTGGCTGTCCTGGAACTTACTCTGTAAACCAGACTGTCCTCAACCTCGAACTCAGAGACCCGCCTGCCTCTGCTTTCCAAGTGCTGGGATTGAAGACGTGTGTCACCACCTTCCTGCTTATTAAACATTTTAAAGATATATTCATCAGTATACATGACTCTTTTCCAAGTCCCAAGACTTTTTAGTACTGCGCAGCAGCATGTTCTTTGAATGTTCCTAAACTTGGTCTCATTATCCTCGGCACAGTTTATACCATACTCATCATGTGAGAAAAAGTAGAAACTCTGTAGATAGCTGTTGAATTGAATAGAATGCATACTCAATTGCTCATTTTTCCTTTTTTTTAGAAGAATCAGTTCAACAAGAGGACATGGGAACAGTCGTGAAAATGAGATAAGCTTTAGGTAATCCTGTGGAATGTTGTTAGGTTTCCATTCCTTATGAAGCTGTCCTGATACATAAGTGTATGTACTTGTCAGCTATTCTCAGATGGAGAATAGTGTGGAAGGTAGTCACATGAAATATACCCCAAAACTCATTTTGATGCAGGGGAGAAATGTTGGACTCCATTCCTTTGTCAGCAAGAGACTGGATAACTGAAAGGGTTAACAAGTCAACAAAGTTCTTGTCTGGAAGAGAGTCACACTAAATGCAACACAATAGGTCACTTTCTTACAAAAGTTTTAACAGAGTTTGGAGTTTTCACACGTGTAAGCAAAATGAAACAGGGTGATTCCCATGTGGAGATAGTTTAAGCGTTGGAACACCTGGAGATGGAAATGGGTATGCTTAAAATCTCTTCAGATTATAAGCATTGTGGTAGGAGAAGCAAAGTCTAGAATTGGATGGCTACTAGTTGTATAGTTCTTTGTGTTTCCTCATCTATTAAGGAAGTACTTTTACTCACAGACCCTTATCATGTTATGATCGGGGTCATAAACAAATGACCACCCACACTGCCGGGTTCAGTTCTCCTCCCTGCCCGTCTTTAGCTGATTCCCTAAGCAGCTTATGCATTTTCTCAGGCATTAGTTTCTCTATCCAGAAAACTTTGCTAATAAATATACCTATTACATATGGTTATTGTGAAAAAAATTTAAATTGTAAGCTGCCTCCTCCCTCCCACCTCTCCTCTCTTTCTCTCTGTGCACACATGCAAATGTAAATCTGAACAGGTTTGCGCAGTTTTAAAGTATTAGTCACATTGGTTTGGTAGGCTAAAAAATAAAGTTTAGAAGAATTGTAATTGGATGATGACTGAGTGTATAATTTCAGGCATCTTCATAGGTTCCTGTGTAAAACATCCTTTGTAGATCCATGATGGAAGACCCTGGGTATTTTGGAGTAGTGACTAGACCCCACAAAGGGAATTCTTGCTTGAAAAACAAACAAAAACAACAACAAAAATAGGATGTTTCATACAAAAATACTGTACAAACACTTGAAAGAAAGATGAAGTTAAGATCCCTGGTGCTTTATTTACTTGTACTAATTTGTTACAAATGAATAAATCTTCATTTAGTAATAGAAAAATATGGCCTTAAGTAATAGAAAACAAGCCCAAGCTAATTGAATTAAGCAACATCCTTGGGCAGGAAAAGTAACTTGAGATATGCATCTTGTTTTCCTAAGCAAATACTCTTATTTCAAAATCTAACTGGGCCTTAATTTGCTTACCTGCTTTGAGTTGCCCAGCTTTCAGACCAGCACTTATATTCCTGGCAGCAGAGAGTGGCAAATGTTTTTGTTATTATCGCTCTTAATGATAAGTACGTGGTTTTTATTCTCGCTGTAAACAAAGTTCTGCGGGGGCAGTAGACCATACTGTTTCATCATTAGAATGTGGTTGCTTTTTTATTTTCACCATTTGTATTTTGGTTCCTAATCTTTTTTTTTTTTTTTTTTTTTTTTTGAGTGAAAGCTCATGATTTTATTGTCTTCATAACAAGGTCAGCTTAGAACTGGATCACTTGGCCCTTTCTCTTCTTATCACCACCCAGTTCAAAATGCTTGCATCTCTTAATAGCCAGCATCCTCTTAGATCTGCAGTTGGGCTCCACACATTCCAGTCTCAGCACAATCTTCTTTGTAGTTTTCGCCTTTTTGCAGAAAACAGGCTTAGTCTGCTCACCATAGCCACTCTGTTTCCTGTCATAACGCCGCTTTCCCTGGGCATACAAAGAATCTTTGCCCTTCTTGTACTGGGTCACTTTGTGGGGTTGGTGTTTGCCACATTTCTTGCAGAATGTCCGGCGGGTCTTAGAAACGTTCACCATGTTGGCGGGTGCGATATCGGCACAGAAAGAGGGAAGGCCCTTTTGGTTCCTAATCTTAGATTGATTTCTTTTTAAAAATGTATTTATTTATTATGTATATATACAGTATTCTCAGTACTCTGCCTGCAGACCAGAAGAGGTCACCAGATCTCATTATAGATGGTTGTGAGCCATCATGTGGTTGCTGGGAATTGAACTCAGGACCTTTGGAAGAGCAGGCGGTGCTCTTAACCACTGAGCCATCTCTCCAGCCCAGATTGATTTCTTTTTAGTGGGGAGAGAAAGACATTGTTTTCCAATCTAGTATTTGTAACTATATTTGCTAGTTTTACATACATAGTAAGTTTGTTGTTTGTTTGTTTGTTTTTTTCTGTTGTTTTTGCTTTGGTTTTTTTTTTGGTTTTGTTTTTTCTCTACAAGACAGTATTTTAGGCACTAGAGGATTTGAATGACAATATTTAAATAGGGATTTTAATATTCCATTAATATAAATAGAAGAACCTTCCAAATATTAATCTTTGTTAGCTGGCTGTCTTCTTCCTATTCCAAATCTAGGCCCAGGCCACAAATTTCTTTGATATTTAAAATTTTCATTTGTGATCATTTGTTAACTTTTAGTCACCCTCAGGTCCATGCCTGTCTCAGCTTCCCTTCACTGTAGTGACCACCTACTGGTCTTCTCCAGGACTTGGCTCTACTTGTAATGTCTAGTTCCCACATCCCAGTCTAAGCGTCTTCAATCTCACTTGTCACTTCCCCTCCAATTTCACTGCTTCCCTGAGTGACCGAGCCCCGTTTTCCTTTGCAAATCCCTGGCAAGCTCTTGAAAGAGCAGTGCTATTCATGGCCATCATGTCCACATCCTCGCCGGCCTCTGGAAGGAAGTCTGGGCTCACCGCTTTCCACCCACATGAAATTGTTCACTGCAGTGTGGTAGGTGAGTGACTTCATTATCACATCCAGCAGGTTCTCTTTGACATCCTCTGCCCTTTCTGTGCCTTTTACACAGCTGACTACCAGCTGAATCCTTAAGATTTTTTTTCTTTTGGCTTCCAAGATGCTGGCCTGTCTCATAGAGCAGTTCTTTCCGAACACCTAAACACTGGTCTCTTCAGACGCTCTCATAAAATATTCTTTGCTAACTTCATAGACACTGACCTCTTTAAATTCTGTGTCTAAGAGATTCTTTTCTGGTTTCTTCTACTCTGAATATAGGCTCCTGCCACCAGCACAACCCATTCATCTGTTCTCTATCCCACTACCCACTTCATGACCTCCTCCATACTCTTAAAGCTTTCCCGTTTTTGCTCAAGCTCTCAAATGTTTATCATTAGCCTTTGCTTGCCTATGTTCTATCTCACCCTTGTGTGCGCATACTCTGGGAGGCCTCTCAGGTTCCTCGACCAAACACTCCAAAGTAAGCTCATCAGCCCCTGCATATCTTCCAGCCATGTCAGCAATACTCCAGACTGTGGAGTCCAGCTATTCTCTCTGCCCCAGTTTTAGAATATGTGGTGTAGCCTCTTCCTTTTTGCACCTTCCAGTTTCTATCTATTTCCCTTTTTGGAAGTAACCGCCATTTTGACCTCTGTTACCTTAGATTATTTCTGTCTGTTTTGGATAGAGCATGGGTGGACTCATAGTAATGGAATGATGTGTCTATAAATAGGATTTACAGTCTCTAGGAATGTATGCAAGTTCTGCCCGTTCTACTTCCTCTTAACATTTAGTAATGTCTTTTTTGAGACAGGGTCTCATTCTTTAAGATCATGCTGACCTAGAATTCACTAGCCCAGGCTAGCCTGATAATCTTGGCAACTGAGCCTCCTGAGTGCTTGGATTATAGTGTGAGCCACAACACCTAGATGATAGTGTCCTTTTGATTTAGTCTTTCTGGTAGGGATGAATAGGGCTTGGGTTTTGTTTTGTTTTATGGTGGTTTGAATGGGGTTCAGTTTTTCTTTTTCCAGTGCTCAAGTGGGACCTAGAGCTTTGTTCATGCAAAGCAAGTACTCTTACTATTGCGGAGCTATTAGCATCAACCCTTGCTTTACTATTGATGTATATTTCCTTGAGAATTAACAATGTTGAGCTCACTCTTCACAACCTTATTGAATATCCTCTTTCATAAGGCATCTCTTCAAATATTTTTCTTTTTCATATTGAGTTACCAGTCTTGTTATTATTGTTATTGTTTTATGATGTTGTTTACATATTCTAAGTCTTTGTTAGTTGGATATTTTCAAATAGATATCATCTCTCAATCTTTGGTTTATCTTTTATCCTGTTAGTTTTGCATTTTATTAAACAGAATTTACTAATTTTGATGAAGTCCATTTTTAATCTTATAATTGATAGTTTTGTGCCCATTTCAAGAAATAGTATCTTTCAAATTTATGAATATAAAATTGAAATGCAGGGCTGGAAATAGAGTTCAGTCAAGGTTTGCTGTCAGTTAGTAACATGAGTTCAGTCCTTGGCCCCACGTGGTGGAAAGAGGGAACAGATGAGTTGTCCTGGATCCATTACACACTACACTGTAGCCTTCATCCTCCATCCCCAAATCTTACCTCCACCAAACTAAATAAGCACATTGTAATAAAACTTGAGATGAGATACAGAAAGTTGTAGATGTACTAAGATCACAGCAGACTTAGTTACACTTAAACTTCAACTGTTTGTGTCCTCCTACCCTCAGCCAGACGCTTCTAGCTTTTTCTACTCTGCGAAGCTGTTATGTGAATTTGGGTTAGATCAGTGAGGTGTAAAGAGAGAGATGATAATCTCTAACTTGAAGACAAGATGCTTTTTGTGTACTTTGCCCTTTCCCCTCATTTTCCATATCCCTACCTTAAAATCATTTCTCTCTTTTTATTTATTCTTTCAAATATAATTCATTGTGATTACAGTTTTCCCTCCCTATATTTCCTCCAACCTCCTCATCCCCAGATCTACTCCTCTTGTTCCCCTTCAGAAATGAACAGGCCTCCCAGGAATATGGACCAAACACAGCATAACAAGATGCAATAAGACTAGGCACAGACCCTCAAATCATGGCTGAATGAGGCCACCTGGTAGGAGAAAAGAATCCCATGAGTAGGTAAAGGAATCAGGGACACCCCAAATCCCACTATTCGGAGTCCCACAAAAACACCAAGCTAACAACCATAACATGTAAATATCATTTCTCTTACCCTAACAACAACAAAATAATTCACAGGCACCAGTTAGTTTATACTGTAAGTATTCCTTCAACTCTGATCTGTTGTTTTGCTCGCATTACATTGTATTACTACCTTTGTGCTGCTGAAATGCATCCCAGCTGCCTGCTGCTGTCTCAGTCTCCCAGCAGCTTGTTGTTCTTTGACCACTGTGGCATCGCAGCCATTGATTCGACTGCTTTTCCACCGTACCTAGACTCAAGCCAAAGTGTACTCTGCACTGTTTCCGGAGTTTGCTCACACTTTTTGCCCTAATCTCCTTCCTTTATACCACTGGGCTTACCTATAATGCTTTCTGTTTCCCATGCTCTTGTTTTCTGTCTATTTGAACTGTGCCCGTCTTTCAAGAAGCAGCTGATATTCTACCTTTCCACAGAGCCATTCCTGGTTCTGTAATCAATGATGACATCATTTTCCATTACCCAGATGCTTTCCTGCCTTTCAGGATCTAATGTGGATCTAGTACATTGCATGTGGAAGGCACTCAGTAAATATTTTGAAATAAATGGACAAATGAACTACATACTTGAATTTTTCAGAAGCTGAAAAATTGATTTTTCTAATTGAATTTTCAATATTTATATTGAATATTAATATCTGGTCCTGCAATGAACATGGCCAGGGATTTAAGCTCTGACTACATTGGTTCCCATGCCTTCTGTCTGAGTATAATTCTGACTCAACACTTCTCACACAGAAGATTTGCTCTATTGTATCATGTTCATCTTCCATAGCTTGGCTCCTGCAGTCATGTGTCTTGATCCTAGCTGGTGACATAGATGACCGTGTCCTCATTTGACTCCACAGTAACATGACCTTCTTGACTATTACATAGTAAAGAAGAGGTTTGTGTGGAACAAGAGAATCTGCTTCTATTCCAGGCAGATGATTTGACTTAGACAACTATTTGACAACTGGCTTCCCTTGTGTTCCCTTGGCATCTTGAAAGAACATGTGAACCATATTTGAAATGCCACTGTGCTGACACCTTTGACCACCACAATCAGGAACCTACTTTATCATGTTTAGGAACTGGCCCAGAAATCTGCATTTCTCAGTATCTCTCCTGGAAAACAATGGTGATCAACTAGGTTGGGGCACCACGGCAGAGAAGGGTTAAATCTACCTAGATTTAGGAATTAGACCTTCGGCCTACTTTCCTGCACAGTGGCTCCAGTGTGACCTTGGGCAAGTTACTAATGGTCTTCAAAATGTCTAAGCATACAATAATAGCACCCATTCAGAGGGTTATGGTGAAGACTAAATGAGGTAACTCATCTCAGACCCTGGGAGTGTTTGCAGCTAACTGTAACGGTTGCCTTTTCAACTGTTAAAGCCAGTTTTTTCAGTTCTTTGTAAGGTTTTTATATAGAATATACAAAATAGAACCTAATGCCCCTATAACAAACAAAAATAAATCCCGTTATTTCTTTTTTTTTTTCCCCCTCAAGATGAGATTTTACTGTGTTGTTAATATGAGTGAACCTCCTGCCTCAGCTTCAGGAGTACTAGGAGTACAGGCAAGAGCTGTCACATGCATGTGAACCTTTGGTCTTCTTACCTCCTCTTTCCTAAGTGCTTAGATTAGAGACATAAATTACATGCAGTGCTGGGCATGGCGCCTAGGGCAAAGCAAGCATGCTACCAATTGAGCTGTATCCGAGTCCTTAGTTAAAGTCCTTTGTGAGGTACTCTGCACCTCTATTTTCTACAAGCTGCTTCTTGTTTCACTACACCGTTGCAGAGAACTGTTTACCTGCGGAATTTAGGAAGCCAGTGCTGTAAAGCAGCATTTCCAGAACAAGATGGTGGTTAAAGTGCCTGGAAGCAGGGACTTCAAGCTGTGGATGTGAAAATACTGAGCATCTTCTCGTGGAATTACTCCCTCG